CTGCTTAATAGGACAGCTCCTCCCCTCCCCTCCCCTCCCCTCCCCTCTCTGGTCAGTTCTGCTGTAACCTGCTAGAGTGGGACTGCATGCAGAGGTCTGTTTCTGGCAGCATGCCCAACGAACCCCAGGAAACGTCTGCCAACGCATGGAAAATGTCTTACTGTGACGACTCTTACTGTGCAGGTGCTCCGGATCCAGAAGGACCTGGACAGACTATGGAGGTGGGCCGGGGACAGCAGGATGGCGTTCAATGTGGGTAAGTGCAAAGTCTTGCACCTGGGACAGAGGAATGGGTGTCGTAAGTACAGGTTAGGGGACAAGCACCTGGAGAGCAGCACTTGTGAAAGGGACCTCGGGGTGCTGGTTGACTGCAGGCTAAACATGAGTCAGCTGTGTGATGCGGTGGCCAAGAGGGCAAATGCCACCCTTGGTTGCATAGCCAGAAGTGTGGCTTCTAGATCGAGAGAGGTATTACTACCACTCTACACGACTCTGGTGTGCCCGCAATTGGAGTATTGTGTTCAGTTTTGGGCCCCTCATTAAAGTAAGCATATAGCCAGGTTAGAGTCAGTGCAGCGCAGGGCCACGAGGTTGGTGGTTGGATTGCAGGGAAAGCCGTACGAGGCGAGACAGAGGGAACTGGGTTTTTTCAGCCTGGAGAAGAGGAGACTCAGAGGGGATATGTTGGCGACATGCAGGTATGTGAGGGGATGTCACATGGAGATGGGTAGAGACCTGTTCTCCCCTGCAGAGGAAGGCAGGATGTGCTCCAATGGAGGAAAGCTCAGGGAGCCAAGGTTCCATTTGGATGCCAGGAAGCACTTCCTGACAGTTAGGACCCCAAGGGTGTGGAATGGGCTTCCATGGGAGGTGGTTGAGGCCCCATCGGTGAGGGTGTTCAAGGACAGGCTGGACGTCCACATGGTAGACATAGACATGTCATGAACGGAGCCGGCTGGAGCCGGGGGTCAGACTAGATGGGCCGGGAGACCCCTTCCGATTCTCTCTGTTTCTATGTTTCAAATCCATTTAAACAAGAAGAGCAAGCGTGCAAACTGTCCAATGGGTTCTCATTTTTGGGTGCGACTCCGAAGAATACCTTTGGCTCAGGTAAACGTATTTCAAACATATGGCTCATTCCAACACTGCTGGACACTGAATGGGGCTGCAGTCAGTTGTGATTAACACAAATCCCAGTCCTTAGCTTCTTGTTTGGCAGTGCAATCCAATCTCTCTCTACCCAGAAGGAAGATCTATGGAATTCAGTGGGGTTTATTCCCAGGAAAGAGTGCGAATGAAGTGCAGGGGACTTTAGCCCGAGAGGTGATCAGATGCCTTTGTTTCGGAATCAATTTTGGGATGGTCAAGGCTGGAAGTTGCACCCATGAAAAGAGAGCCGGTTAATGAGGAATAGTTGCTTGGGAACAAAACAAGAGCAAAGCAGCAGCTTCCACACCACAGAACAAGAAGGGACTCAGACAGGCCCGCGTGGTGTTGTGGCGAGTGGGCTCACGGGGGGGCAGGCTCCAACAGTGGGGCATGACCCCAAAGAAAGCGTGCTCTGCACTCCTCCTCGGCTGCCCATGGGCTCCTATGCAGCCAGGTCTCCCCCACCCCCCAAAGCCCCCCTGCAAATCCTCTGGCTTCACCCAGGAGTCAGGGAAGCTGTGCCCCCAGTTCCCATCAGCCCCAGCCCGCATGGCCAACAGTCAGGAAGAAGACATGCCAACTAACATCTGTGGAAGGCCACAGATTCCCAAGCTCGGACCCCAAGCACGCAGTGCCGGCCGACAGGAAGGCGAAACGGCACGTGCTCAACAGTTCTGCTCACGCTGACTCTTTGGTGTCCCCACCCACCGAGCCAAAATTCAGCCTGCAAGCTCCCTGGGGCAGGGAACTGTCTCCCACCTTTGCAAATCCCACACGAGTGGGTCATGCTAGATAAACTGAAGAACTACGCAGACGCAGGGGACACTACCTGCGGCAGCTTTACCCAACCTGGCAGCTTTACCCAACCTGGCAGCTTTACCCATCAGGCAGCTTTACCCAACCTGATGCCAGCCAGCTATGCTGAATGACCACCTTCGCAATCTCCAATGACCATGCTGGCTGGGGATGATAGGGATCATAGCCCAGCTCTGCTTCTTCAGTCTCCCAACTTTACCCAGAATAGAATCATAGAACAGTGGAGTCGGAAGGGGCCATGAAGGCCATCTAGTCCAACCCCCTGCAGTCTAGCCAAAGGATTTCCAAAGGATGTCCGATCCTGCAGCCACGGATTCCCTGGACGGGAGGTAACTCCTAACATACAGCCTGCGATTACTGCGCCTCACCAGCCGTGCTGGGAAGGATTGTCGTTCAGGGAGGAGAACCCGACCGTGTGGACCTCTGAGTAGGCCGGCCTGCTTGCCTGTTTGCCTTGGTGCATCTTTTGCAGCAGAAATCACCAAGAGTGAAGAACATACGCTCCTTTCTCGCTATTATTCTGATATCCAGCAACGGCTCCAGTATCCTCGTTAATGGATCTGGCAAGCAGAGCAAGCAGGGAGGTCTACGCACGCGCCCCGTGCGCTGGCTCTGCGGACATCGTGCTGGGCAGCCACTCTGCGACGCAAGATTTTTGGCAACACCGGAAAACGGAATATTGTCGCGAGTGCTGTACCTCCCAAACAAGTCCTGTTGAGGGAGGAGATTCTTGGATGCACCTGGGAGCATTATGATTTTTTGGAGCTTATCGGATTCCCTGCAGCCCGTGGGTTTTTGTCAGTCAGTGGCAGAAGGGGAGGGGAGCTAGAGGTCTTCTCCACACCATCTGGGAAAGGAGTCTTCTTGGCCCGCTGTCCGCCTGTCCTCCCTGACCCCGTCTAGAGTGACAGCAAATGGAGCCTGATCTCAAGAAACAGAGAGCTGCTTGAGAGAGAGAAAATAGATGAGCAACATGCAGTGTTAGACTAATGACCTCATCTGCATAATGAAGAAAACTTGCCCCGCAGCAATCATACGACCCACGAAAGTGGGAAGCAAAAAGCAGAACTCTCGAACATCATGAGCGCCAGACACCCCTTTCAGTAAACAAACCCACTGTCCTTGTGGAGACGGTTTCTGCTCTCCGGGGATGCTTGCATATTCGGGCTGTCAGAAATTTTAGTCAGTTCCTCAGATCAGTTTGAACCGATCGATAAAATCTGCACGTGGAAAAAAATCATGCTGAAGCAAGAAACAGACGTAGTTTACAGATCATGAAGGTGGGATTCAAATAGTGCATGTCATCCTAGAAGCATCACCCCATTATCTCTGGGACGTGTGTGCCTTGTTTTGGAGGGTGTTTTGGCCCCAGCAGTTCTTAGGAGACCTTTGAGTCAAAAGGGGATCTAAAGGAGGTTGGCTGACCAGTTCAGACAGCCTGAGTGTTTTAAGCAGGCAACTTGACCAAGGTTCTAGGTTATGCGCCTTCATGCCCTCCGCAGGTTCTCCTCTTCCGCGCCTATAGTTGGTACCAGCTTCCCACCCCATCAGTCGAATTCCTCCTGCATCCTTCTAGCACTCTGGCAACAGGAATCACCAAAGATGTCACCATGGGAACGAACAGAATGTCGTGGGTGTTTGGACGCAGGGCTCACTACCAACCAGATGTGTTTGGACCACACATTCGACAAGCATGAAACTACTTATCAGAGATGCCACTGGTTCTTCCTGATGGAACTAGGGTCTATAACAAGCCCCCATCTGCCATGGGAGACGTGGAAGATGTACCAGTCCAGATGTGAGTCAAGAACCAAGCTGTCTCACTCCAAAAAGGAGCAGAGATGCAGGAAACTAAGTCCAGTGCCACCTAGTGACTAAAGCATATTATGACATTATCCACACACCGGACATGCTCATGTTGCAGGCATGACAACGTTTGGCAACGGGCCCCAAACGGAGTGCTTTCTCAGAGTCTCAGCTTTAAAAGAAACGTTAAGTTTCTAATGGGTACAATTTAGGAGACAGGGTGATGCCTTCTGAGGGTTGAAAATCCAAAGATTTGGGCAGGGTCCTAGCAGGAGCTTTTACACCTAGAATATCCTACTGCCTTATCTTGTAGGCCAGGGTGGACAAGTGTTGGCTTTTTATCTACCCTAGCCAGCCAACAGCATCACCAATGGCAAAGCATTATGGGAGCTGCCCTCGAAAAACATCTGGAGGACAAGAACTTGTCCACCTCTGCTGCAGGCTCAGGGATAGCCCACTGGAGCCTGCCAGATGTTTTGGGCCACCGCACCCATCCCTTGGCCGTGCAGGTTGGGGCCCTTTGGAGTTGTTGTCAAACTTCCGAAGGAAGCCCTGCTTCCTGAAGGCGGCTGTGCAGATACTGCCTGTCCTGGGTGATTCACCTCCCTCTATGGTCTTGGATCAAATATCCCATTTTTAAGTACCTTTTCTTTCCTTTCTTCACCAAATACCGTATTTCAATACTCAATGAGGTTACCACAATCAAGTAAGCAAGCAAGCAGGGCCCCAGAGTGTACTTTTGGCATGAAAAATGGACAGGAAGGCATTGAAATGCATCCCAAACGGCGACACTCGCCCCCAAAATGTACCCTTTTCATGACAGCTTTGCTGTCTGTGATCCTTCTAGCAACATGTGATGCCATCGCACTGCCAATGAGATGGGCCTGCGTGACGGCGCCACCAAGGGCAAATTAAGCCCTGTTTCTTAGGGAGGGCATGGAAAAGGAGATTTGGCACCGGGCCTCAATATTGATCAGATTAAAACTTGCTGCTCTCCCTCTGCCAATTGCCTGGGTGCTATTGCAAGAGCTTTCCAGGGGCGACCGGTGGTGGGGGGAAGAAGGGTAAAGCTGAAGACCATTTGTGCTAGTAAGGAGCATTGGTGGCCCAGGGACAATATAAACGTCGGGACCTTTCCACGTCAAGTGCTGGGGACAAGTTCCACCTTCTGGGCCGGGGGGAGAGAGAATCTGCTCGCCTGGTGCTGGAAAGCTCCAGGGGAGCTTCCCTTAGGATTCCAGGAGGGTGTGCCAACGGCACACCTGCTGTGGTTTACACTCTTTCATCTCCTGCCAGTGGCTCAGCTCTTCCTCTCCACTACTGTTCTGGCCCATGGAGAGCCAGCCAATCATCTCCTTGCGCTTGATGCTGCGGCGGTTGTAGATGGAGATCATCAGTGTGACATCGGAGAGCTGGAACAAGGCAACCTGAAAGACGAAAGCCTCTTTGTAGACAGGGTTGGGCTGTCCCCGGCGGATGGACGTCTTGCAGCGGGACATCTCCTGGCCCACCGAATTGAGGAGACAGAGCTTTCCGTAGGTGTCTGTGGCCAAAGGGAAAAGGCAAGAAAAAGGAATTGTGACGCTCTTCTGGAGAAGCATGCAAATAAGCGAAAGGTGAGCCAAAGGCATACTGCTTATTTCCTCTGCTACTCTACCCGACAGGGCAAAACAAAGTGGGTGCATGTTTTGACTTTGGCTGACTGGAAGAATTTGCTGTTAGTCGCAAAGTCATGCCCAACCCATCGCGACCCCACGGACAACACTCCTCCAGGCCTTCCTGTCCTCCACCATCCCCGGGAGTCCACTCAAGCTCACACCCACTGCCTCAGTGACTGCATCCAGCCACCTCATTCTGCCGCCCCCTCCTCCTCTTGCCGTCAATCGTTCCCAGCATCAGGGGCTTCTCCAGCGACTGGAGGAACAGCATGATGCAAATATGGAAAACACAGATTTAGCTTTCATGCTTTAGATATGCTGCCAGGAGGTTGCCTGAGATGCAACAAGGGTCACCCATTTGGGTGGGATGGGATGGGCCAATCCCTGGAGAAGGCCACCATTCCAGATGGCTCCAGGCCCCCTCCAGTACCAGGGGCCTCCACACACCAGGAGCTGGGGAACATGGGAGGCGGGGGGCTGTTGCACTCCCGCCTCGCAGAGGGTGGGGCTCCCGTGGGCAGCTGCTTGGCTACTGCATGAGCAGGGATGCAACCAAGCAAGGCCCTCTTCTCCTCTTAATGACATCAGCTGCAGCTCTTCGGTTTTCTCGGCGCAGCGCTTCGGTCCCATCCCTGCGAGCTGCCATTCCACACGCTTTCACTGCTTCACAGTGTGAAATTTCACTGCTGCTGTGCAAAGGCCGGAATGCTCCGAAGCAAGGAGAGCATGCGTCTCTTCGAATGGTTCCTTCTGGTCTCATTGCTCGGGGCACATCCACTCATTCCCAAGAGAATAAGCCAATTTTTTCACATGCTGTCTAGAGTGCGTGCGTGTCTGCATGAGCCCGTGGGTGAGACAGACCCAGACGGACAGAGGGACAGGTATCTGGGCTGTGTGATCGCAGTACTTTGCTATTATTCACTTATATTTATTCCAGGAGGGGGGTTTTCTGACAGTGGGGAGTTCTTGGCCTAAATTTTCCCCAGGAAAAATGCCCCCCGGGCCTTCACTGAAGGGGTGAGGAGTGGGCCAAAGGGCCCTTTCCACAGTCTGATGCAGTTCTGTCCAACCTATTTAGTTTACATTGTTCACAGTCAAACATTGAGATTTAAAAATGCCTTTGCCAGAGGTTGAAAAACGCATTTGTCCTAATTGGTAACACTTCAGTTGCTGCAAACAGGAATTTAGTAGGGCTGTGATCCACTGTGCTTCTGGCCCTTGTGATGACTTTGTCAGGGTACGTGTTTCGGGTAATTCACACCAAAGGTTAAGCACAAGCACTTTAAAGGGTTGGCCTTCTTTTAACCCAGATCTGCACTGCTCCTCTCAGCATTCTCTGCTCCCTCAAATATTCCTTTGATTTTGCTTTTAGGATCATCACGCGTAGACCCCACCCACTTTTTCTTTGCAAAAACCCCCAAGGGGTTTATAAGGTCCTCTTCCTCTCCATTTTATCCTCACAACAACCCTGTGAGGTAGGTGAGGCCGAGTGGCCCAAAGCCACTCAGCAAGCTTCACAGCAAGCAGGGACAAGAGCCTGGATTCTCCTGAGTGCCGGCCGAACAACGCAACCACTGCTCCAGACAGACTCGGACTGCTGCTCTGCCTGTTTAGCAGGACTCGTGTGCTGCGTAAGGATCATGCAACACTGCAATTACTGGGCAAGGTTTATCCTACTCCTCCTAAAGTACTAGAATCTTGAGCTTCCTACTCTTCCTAAAGTACTAGAATCTTGAGCTTCCTACTCTTCCTAAAGTACTAGAATCTTGCGCTTCGGAATCCCTCCTAGCCCTCTGGGCAAAAGTTTCCTTTTGTCCCTTACTGAGTGATCTTTTTATCTTGTTTCGCAAATTCTTCTTCCTCCTCCTCTTCATCTTCCTCTTCTTCTTCCTCTTCATCTTCCTCTTCTTCTTTCTCTTCCTCTTTTTCTTCTTCTTCTTCCTCCTCTTCCTCTTCTTCTTTTTTGCTGCCCATAGTTTGAACTTTACTTCAAAATAAAGTCTATTAAAAAGCTAGAGCATTCCTAACATCGCTTCCACAAGCTGCCATAAACACGGTGTCACTAGTCTAGACAACAGCTGAACCAATGAATAGGGTGGCTGCTTGTCCGTTTTTGAGAAGAGAAAAAGGATCACTGAAAAAGAGGACAAAAGATGGCAGAGAAGTATGCCAAGAGTGCACACGATAAGGCTATGTATTGATGCAAATTTAGAAATCATCACTGTGTTCTAAAAAGAAATCCACTATACCTCACCATCATGGGCAAGACTGGTCTGCGTGCCCGGCAGAGAACTGTTTCTGGGCATCTTCAAGGGTCCAGGACTCTGCCTTTAAGGGCCTGCTCTAACAATTCTTTAAATTTAAGCCACAGCTGGGCTGGACAGCCCTTTACACAGAGGATCCTTCAGAGAGAGGACTGTCCTCTCTAAAGGAGGTTACACAGCCACCCTACCAATGCACAATGAAGGGATGCACAATGAAGGAAAGCACACAGAAGAAAGCACACAGAAGAGTCCCTCTGGCCGTGAGAATTCCCAGAAGGAGGAACTGTATTCAACAGAATGAGCTGCCCCTTCCACCCCGATGGAAAAGAGTCTTTTTTAACAACAGAGCGATACTAGAAAGGGAGGTGGGGTCTCTAGTCTTGTGTCCCCTGCATATTTAGGCACTGTTTGTCTGCAATTGGCCTAGTCTCTCTTTTTCAGCCTAGGCTTATCCCACAGAGTTATCGTAAGAGAGGACCACATACATCACCTTAGGTTCCTTCGAGGAAGAGCAGAACCACAACATCACAAAATAATATGACAATACATAATTATTATCATTAATTATTATTAGAATGACTATTATGCCTCGGATTGGGGTACGACACCAGGTTGTGGGACGGGCAAAGATGGATTACACCGGGATCACAACTATCCTTTTCTTTCTCAAGCCCTTTCCCCCTCTGTATTAATCCTAAATTGCCTCATCAGATGCCACGATATTCAGGATGAAATAAACCCAGCTATGTCCAGGACAACATCCAGTTTGTGGATGCGGGATATCAGCAAGCAAAAAGCAAGCTTTCGGCCCCCATGTGTATGTCCATGCTGGTTCCCTGAATAGGCCAAAGGGTGCTTCCTTTAAGTTAAGAATCAAAGAAATCAGCTCCTGTTTAGAAATGTTCTTCTGAGAGACAGGGGAGTGACCGAGCTGCTTCAGTAAGGCAAACAGTGTCATGGTCACAGCAAAAGCAGCCCTTATCTACAGAACGAAACGACTGGGGAAGGCAGCTCTATGGCAATTATCTCTGGGGCTCGACCTAACCAGCTAAAAGCCGAAAGGCCCTGGCATGGCCCCAAGGAACTGCACTGTTTTACACACAGGTGAGAGAACTCCTTTGCATATTGAGCTTTAATATTTGACTGCTATTCTTCTGGTAAAGCCCATCCAATGCATCCCCTAAGAAAAGTGGAAGCAGAAAGACAAAGCTGACTGGAGAGAGAGAATGAGAGAGAGAGAAGGAAAAAGAGCAAGAAAGAAAGAAGTAAAAAGGCAATTCATCATATCGCGGAATGGTGCTTGCTCGCTTTCTCCCTCCCTCCCTCCCTCCCTTGGCGGGAACAAACGTTCAAACTGGGTGCCATGTAATAGATTGGGAATAAACACGGGGCCCAAGTTGGAAAACAGAGAATAGAGGAACAAAGCGAGTCAGAAGGGACCTCCTGGGCCATCTAGTCTGACCCCTGGCTCCAGCCAGCTCCGCTCACGACATGGTTGGAGGCTACTGGACTAGTTCCTATCGTCCAGGATTTTTGTGTGCCAAAAGCAGAGAGGAACGGGAATGAGCTCAAATGCACAAGGAAGAGTAACTCTCTCAGTAGAATAGAAAAATCTACCCGTCTCTGAAGGTATCGTCACTACTGGTCGAGTCCCAGCTGGACTGTGCTGAGCAGTCGCAAGCATAACCATTCGCCCAGTGGGATCAGAGCCAACCAGGTGCCATCCCATCCCATATAACCACTCAGGATGTATAGGAACCCTGCACTAGACGTCTGTACGTTCCCAAGAAGACAGGGTCATTTACATAGCACAAAAGGGTGGGGGGCGGGATAGTATGCATACCTCTAAAAGGTACACAGGAAAATAATATGGACTTTTGAAAATACTTTGAGTGGGAGACAAACGCATGCATTTCAAAGGTGTGCACAGTGGTGCGTATGTTTGGAAAAGATACACGGAAATATGCAAGGGAGTCCAAGCAAAAAGGCAAAGCGCAAAGTCTGATACGGACTTGACTTGGAAATGCGGTTTGGAGAACCTGAGCTAGGGATACGCATATCTCTAATTAGCAGAACTGGGCAGTCCAAACCATTTGGCACTCGGTGAAGGCAGAGCTGCTACAAACCACCTCGACTAAGCCTACCGAATTAGCAGCCGTGCAGGAGGCCTGGTTGAAAACCAGGCCTGGAGCGCAAATTCTCTGGCTCTGGCTTCATTATGGCTGAGTGAGTGGTAGAGAATGGAGGGCGGCAGGGAAAACGTTCCGCACTACTGGAAGGATTTCTGAGCAGCTTTCTAGTATCTCTATTTGGCATGGCCAATCAGGTCACGCTATATATCTTACTTGCCTTTGGGCCTGAAAAGGCTCTGTGAGCTGAGCACACAATAGTGGGCTGAGGAATACTGGAAGTTGTAGTCTAACACCTCTGGAAGGCATCAGGCTGGGGATGGCTGAACTAGGAAATCCTTCAGGAGAGCAGACTGTGTGGTGTTTTTTTTTTTAAAGCTTGGCTTCCCATTTGGACTTGTGGCAACCACAGGACAAACAGGTGCCGCAGGTTTTTCAGGAAAACCTGCATAACCTGTTTGGGCTGTACATCAAGTAGAACGTGTGTTTACCACAAGCACTGGCCTTTCTTTCAAGTTGCCTTCCATGGTCTTCAAAAAAGAAAAAAAAAGGTTAAATGCATGCCACAAATTTCCATGTAAATACCACAAATGGCCCAACATTCCACATTCAAATCCCACACCTGCCAGGTTTGGGGGTTCTGCCTGAATCACGGGGCAACACATCTACATACCCGGAGGTCTGTTTATGGCAAGATTTCGGAAATGGCTGCCTTTGATCAGCTCTACCGACAGCCGCCCTGTCGTTGCGTTGTAGGACAGTCCCACCAGCAGCTCTGGTGACCCTCCGTGGGACAGGGACTGGGTCGAAGAAGCGCTGTCACTCTGGGATACGGCCGAGAGGCTGATCGGAGAACCTGTGCTCTGCAAGGGCAGAAAGCAAGTTAGTACGTTGGAGGCGAGAGATGGAGAACAGGCCGCGAGCTGTGTGAATGTGTGGAGCTAATTTCTCCCATTCTATACACAGCGCAGCCTCTAAGGAAAAGAAGGCAATGCAACGTCTGGCAAGGGCTACTAGGATATTCCCTGCAGCTGATGAATAAAGTCCCAGAGCACTGGGAAGACTTTAGAAAGGCAAAGCTTTTACAGGCCAGAGCTGACTTCACTGCATGCCGGAGGGACTCTCTTCTCCAGGACGAACTCTGGGCCGTCGAGCACAAAGGACCCTGGGCCATCACGGATGAGGTTGCGTGGGTGCAAACCAGCCCAATGCGGCTTCGTGAGCTCTGGCTGGGTGGACGAGAAAGAGCTGATCTGGCACTGCAGTCGGACGGGTGGCAACACACACCTCGGGTTATTAGGTGGTGACTGTCCACATTCAAGCTTAATTAAAGACTGCGTTTGAACTACCACTGATGCCGCCGTTAACAGCATCACCTCTCTGCATGGCTCTCTGAAGCAGCCGTTAATGATGGGCAGCAGAAATGCAACTGAGGAGTGTGGACGCAGCCCGGGAGAAAGGCCGCCGGCCATTTTTCCGAGGGAAAATCTGCTTTCTGGGGAAGGTGATCTGCAGCAGACGAGCTTCAAGCGGGGAGGCAAACGGGGGCTTAACCCTCCCTGTGCCCACCTGCCCTTGGCTCCCAGTCACGCCTCAGTCACTCTCCCCAAGGCCCGTGTCACCGTGCAGGTCAGCCCTTGCGGGTCTGCACTGAAAACTCCGCAAGGATCGTGGGATGGGGAGCCGCTGGCGTGGCAGGGAAGGAGCCGGTGGGGGAAAGGACGGCATGCTCCTCCCAGGTGTGTGAGCGAGGAGTGGACATGCCCTAAGGCTAGAAAAGCACGGCCCGCTTGACCCACGACCCAGGGCCACTGGCTTGATTCACCCCGCACAGACACACAGCTGCGTTGCCCCGCATGGGGCTCCCCGAAGCCCAGCGGGGCCTCGGAGGAGGGCCCCCGCCCCGGTGGACTTACACACAAGTTGCTCCTCGGCTCTAAGACCAGCGTGACCTTCATTTCCCCCTCCTGGTTGAGGCTGCGGAGATAGAAGAGCTGCTCCCCCATCATCCGCTCCTTGATCCTCTTGCGCACGGAGTAGAGGCGGAACCGGAGGGCGTGGCCGCTGAGCTCCTCCGGGGCCAGCTTGGTGAACGTCATCTTGTCCTTGAACGCGGGGCTGGGGCCTCTCTGGACGCTCGTCTTCCCCCGCTGCTTCTTGCTGGGCATCAGGACCGTGTGCACCTGCCAGCTGCTCGCCCCACTGCGGTCCTTGTCGGGGATGCCCTGGGCCTCCAGGACGGTCACCAGCAGCTTCTGGCCCGCGGGCTTGTACTCGAGGAGGACGTCGAGGTCCCCGCATTTGGAGATGGGGTCGGAGGCACGGGGCTGAGCCGGAAGGGCGCTCGCTCCCTCGTGGTCCTTGCGGAAGAAGAAATACAGCACATAGGCTAAGGAGAACAAGGCAGAGAGGAGCCAAACGCAAACATGACCGCTAACGAATCCATTCTGCTGACGCTGGTGGCAGCCTGCAGGGCAGCTGGGAAGCTGTAGACCTTCTAACACGGGAATCTCTCTTGGGAAAAGGAGCTGAAGCAAACAGTCATGGCAGAAAGACGACTGTATCCACCGAAATGAGCAAATGGAAAAATCAAAGTATTCCGATAAAATAGCTTTCGTATGCAAATATGCAGCAATATTTTCAAAAGGGTATGGAAAGGAGACATGGAAAGCAACCCCCGGTCCCTGGGAAAGCATCCCAGGCACCACAGCATATGGTAGGGTCCCTTTCCCAAAGCTGCAGACATTCCGATATGGAAGATTCCGCAGTCCAAGCTTTCCTCCACCGTCTGTGTGAACCTCAAAGTCTGCTTCCCAAGATCAGAAAGGCCACCTTGGATGCCCCTGCAGAAGAAACAGAGGGGTGTTCTCCCGAACCGAAAAGGCCTAGAGAAGATGGGCCAGGATAAGTGCCGGCTCTAGCAGTGCTACCTCCCTAGACAAGTTCAGAGCACCTTCTTTTGGGAGGGGGGTTAAAAGGGGGGAGGAGGAGGAAAAGCAGGAGCAGGAGCAGGAGGAAAATCACCTTTCTCGCTCCTGCAAGGCTTCCATCTCACAGGCAGCAATCCAATAAGCTTGCCTGGTAAATATAATTTGTTATTCCAGGGAACCATAAAGAAAACCTCCAAGCAGCCCATAGATTCCACCTATATTTTTTTCTCTGTGAAGGCAGTAATTAAAGATGCTGGCCTCAGTGAATAACCAGATTTCAACTTGATTTCTTTTCTTCATTTCTTTTAGAATGGGAGAGAGAGGAAAAAAGATGAAAAATAAATAACAAGAAGGGAATTGCTGTCACTCAGCGATTCTAGAATGTTGTCATACTGCAGACTAGAACTGGAAGCAGGAAAGATTTGGGAGGTATGGAAGAAAGTCTATAAAAGAGCAGGGAAATTCCTTCTTTTGGAATGAGGCGAGGAGGAGAAAGCTGAGGAGAGCTGAGAAGGCTCAGAGGTATGGTGGTAGTTGAGCGGTATATGGAGAAGTCGCTGGAGGAGGCAGGGACTAGAAGGAAGCAGGGGTACCTTGTATGAGAGCTAAGGAACGGGAGGGCCAAGGCAGAAGGGGTCGGGGGAAAACCCACGTCAGAAACTAGGTGGCTGGGTTCTGCTGCAGCAGGAAAGCCTGTGCAGGCGGAAGGACGGCGTTCTTTGTTGGCGCAGCATATACAAACCGACAGACCTATAAAGCCCTAAATGGCTCAGGACCTGGATATCTGAGGGAGCGTCTCTTACCCACCCCTTTAAGATCTGGGGCAGAGACCCTTCTTCAGGAGCCCTCCTTGAAGGAGATATGGAGGGCAACTACCCAGAGAAGGGCCTTCTCTGCGGTGGCACCTCAGTTATGGAATACTCTCCCCAGAGAGGTTCGCCTGGCACCGACACTCTATTCCTTTCGGCATCAGGCTAAAACCGTTTTTATTTTCCCATTACATATTTTAAGGTTTGAGTCTGATTTTAATGTGGGGTTTTATTCTACAGAAAATCAATTTGGATGCTGTGCCCCATTCTGATTTATTGCAAGACCATCCTGAGACCTCGGTAGAGGATGGCATATAAAAAATTTAAATAAATATATAAATAAAAATAAATAAACACACAAGCCAGTGTGGCATGGTGGGGAAAGCACTGGACTGGGACTCAGGTGATCTGGGTTCTAGTCCCCAGTTGGCCATGAAACTCACTGGGTGACTTCAGGCCAGTCACTGACTGGCAGCCTCGCCTACCTCACAGGGTTGTGGTTACGAGGATCAAATAGAGCAAGGTAAGCTGCCTTGGGTTCCTTATAAGAGGATAAAAGGCAGGATAGATATGCAAGATGATGATGATGATGATGATAAAGAATTCCATAATATTCATGATACATGGATATTAGCATTAGCAGCAGGGTTAGAGGCTGAGCCCTGAGCGTTAATAGTCGGGCTTCTCTCATATTACACATTAATGAAGAGTGTTACTACTGCTTAAAAAGAGCCCGGAATACTGACATCCCTATTCTGGACTTTTCGACCCTCGGGGGACAGTTCCTACAAGATAACATCCCGTAGCATGGGAAGCGGGGGCGACTTCCTAGCCGGCGGTGCTCATTTCAGCAAGCATCCTCAGCGAAGGCAGAAACAGCCACTTCCCACCTGGCCTCCGAGGTGCTGACACACAGAATCCAATCAAAGAAAACGCTTTCCTTTCTGCTGGCTGGTGGGTCGTGCAGGCAGCTCTTTCTGCCTTTGGGCACAACGTTTGTTTCGAGGAGACAAAACAGCGGTGGGGAGAGAGAGGCACACAGGGACAGACAGGTGCTCAGCTTGAGCGGGCGGGGGGGGGCTGCTCTGTTCAAAGGTGCTTTTTAATCTCAGACGAGGAAGGGTTGCTATAGAGATCACGCCATTCTATTTGAACATGCAAAGAAAGAACAGGACATTCAGAGCATGGGGCAGCACCACTTAAGGATTTTACTGGCACTGCTGGGGGGTTTTAATTGTGCGATGCATCATTCTGAATAATCTGGACTGCTGTGTTTGCAGCGCAGGAAGCCGAGTTTGCACAAGAGGGTGAGCCAGGGTGGGTTGTGAGCCACGTTTGCTGAGCCGTGTCGTGTCGCCCCTGCACCAGGGTGTCTGCAGGGTTGGTTAACCACCGACAAGCCACGCCGAAAACCCGAGGCTTGTTGGACTGCACCCTCTCAGCAGGGCGTGTAATGTCACGGGAACGTGGTGGGACGATCCGGAGAGGGCTACGGAACCGCCTGGAAAGCGCCACTGCTCCCTGCCATCGCCCTGCCAGGAAGCTCTGCCAGTGCGAGAAACCGTTGGTCTTATTATTTTTTCTCTCCTTTGCAGGGCACACATTCATTTATTATTTTATATATTTTATATATTTAAAACTTTTGTATACTGTCCCATGACAGACGTCTCGGGATGGCTCACAAAAACGACAATAAAATAAAAAGTAAGGGTAGCACAGCATCCAATATTAGATGTCAAACCACAGATTAAAACAAATTAGTCATTAAAATAGTGGGAAAACTAAAAGGTTTTCGTCTGGTGCCGAAAGGAAAGAAGAAGAAAAGAGCAATCACCTGTCCACTGTTTACATGCTACATTGGCAAAGTTATTAGCAAGGAAGCCCAGAACCCCCATACCCTGCCCTGCCCCATGCCTTGAAATAGCACTGGGGAATTACTGCTACGCATTCAGGACCTCCTTTGAGAGCAACTTCTTTCTTTATTATGCCTCTTTTAAGCTGTTGCACTTGCCTCGGTCTGCGGATTCACATGGGCAGCCCTCTGCATATTGACTTCTTTTATTTACACGCCTGCTTAGAACAGCTGTAAACTGTAAATTGCCCCAGCAGGAATTGGCTTCACAGACTCCCTCATTAATTACACCAGCCCTAAAAGCTTCTTCAACCCCCACCTGTCCGATAAACGCAAGCCTGGTCTGGCCTGAACAACCAAAGGGTCCAACTGAGACAGAACAAGCAATCCTACAACTATTTGAGTTCCCCAGACTTGACTGGGTTCATGGTTCTTTCATTGGATTGCCAGCTTAATGCAGCCCTCCATTAATGGTGATGTCCCAATCGGACAATTGTCAAAAGCTATTCTGAGCGGAAACACCATTGGCCAAGGGATGGATAACGGAGGAGCCGAGCCCTCTAGAAACAATGCCTCGTGGCACCTTTATTTAACCAACCTATTTATGTTACCCTTCTTCCCCAGCCTGGAGCCCCCCAGAGGTGTACAACTACAACTCCCATCAACCCATACACTGGATGGGTTGGCTGGTGTTGATGGGGCTTGAAGTTCAACAGTCCTAGAAGGCACCATGATGGGGAAAACTATGGTTTTGCGGACTGGGGTCTATTTCACAAGATGTCTGTGGCACTATTCTGAGTTTGCACGCGTGGCGAGGTTGAGTGAGAATTGTAAAGGGCAAGATCGGAGACGGATGGAATGACAGAGGCACAGGCGAGGCAGCCAGGTTATGAACGGCGGCCATTCCTAAAACAATCATTCCCTGCCTCTCCCAGGCACCTCTGTCCCTGATTTCGCACCCAGTGCCTCATTCTACAGGGTCCTTTCTCAGAGCGACCCAGAAGGCAAATGGCCAACCCTGCACTGCACAAAGACATCGCTTCCAGTTCCCATTTTAATGCCCCAGATTTGCAGCAAAAATCTTTGGAAAAAGGCTGTCTTCATTAATGCAGAAGATTCCTAAATCCCTTGGACGTTGCACCCTATATGGGGGGGGGGACACAGGGGGCACCACTGGGGTTTCACTTTGCAACTCGTTGAAATAAGTATTTTGGATTTGGGCTGTGAGGGTCCCCTCCTCCAGCCTAAAGCACCAGTAGGGCAGGGAACAGAGGACCTGCTTCCCAGCCTGAGATTCACAGCCCCTCATCACACCCCCACTGGATGTTTTAGGGCCCTGCACCCCTCCTCCTCTGGGAACCCTCTGTGAAAGATGTTAGGAGACAGAGCACCTGGAGCAGGGCCTTCTCTGTGGTGGCACCCCGACTATGGAATGCGCTCCCCAGAGAGGTCCGCCTGGCACCATCATTATAAGTTTTTCAGCACCAGGTCAAGACCTTTTTCTTTAATCAATATTTTAATATGTTTTAATACTGAATTTTATTGTTGTATTTTATTAATTTGCAGCCAGAGTGGATTGTCAATTTATCTATGTTGTAAACTGTCCAGAGATGCAAGTAACTGGACGGCATACAAATTTTATGAATGAATGAATGAATGAATGAATGAATGGTTGAATATGTTGTTATCACAGCTGGGCAGGCTGAGGGTCTCCCATCCCAAAGTAATGGGAAGATGTGGCAGGAAGTTCGATTTAGCTGAATGTGGCCTTCACTATGATGCACTCGCAGCATCAGGAGTGAACATCCATCTGTGTGCTGAAGAGGAAAGAAAAAGCTGAGTGTGCAGAGAAGAAAGCAGGGCAAGTGAGGGGTGGGAGCAGCATCAACCTGGCAAAGCAGGCAACCACAGGAATGTATTAATTTATTTTTAAATTATAGGCCACTGAGTAACCTGACGGGGTTCTCTAAGAATCAAACAGCAGTAAAATGCAGGCCAAAATTACAATTCCAAGCTACCAGGGGCAGGAGGAAGGGGAAGGGGAAACAACCTGCAGCTAGTAAAGTAGAAATCAGCTGGAAAAGTCAGATCTCAAAATACTTAAGAGGGCCTTTTTGCCTGGTGCTGAAATAAAAGTCGTGACAGTGCCAGGCGGACCTCTCTAGGAAGCCCATTCCAAAAGTTGGGGGCAGCCACCAAGAAGGCCCTAAGCACCATCTCTTTCACTTCCTTTAGGGATGGTTCTTTCATAGGAAAGAATTAGGATTCTACGGGGAAAGGTAGGCCTTCAAGTAACCCGGTTCCAAGCTGCTTAGGGCTTTATATGTTAAAGCAAACATTTTACATTGGAGTTACAATGGCCCTGGAAGGTTATTTGCAGCTGTGCTGCCACGGCGAAGTTTTTATTTCTGAATAGGAGGGTGTTTGAATGGCATTCAAAGATACCAGGTATTTTTAGAAGGTCGGAAGAGCAGATTCCACCTATTATTTCAGCCACGCAAAGCTGCTGGGCTGAAGCTACTCAGAGAGAGCAGAGCGAGATCCCGGAGAATGCAGCTTTGTCTAGCAACTTTGCTTCTTTTGTACAGCCTGCTTTTGCAATAATAACACCATTTGTTGGTGCAGGAACAAAAGACAAGATTACATGTTCCTTCCTCCCTGTTCCCTCTTGTGCATTTCACCTTGAAGGAGCATTTCCTGGGGGGTTGGAACAACCAGAACGATGATCCAGGCAACTGGGTTAACTGCTGCTTTAAAGGCAGGATTACAAGCCACAGTTTGGTCCCGCTTTGTAACCAGGATTTTAAGTGGTGCTTAAACATAGAGAACCATAGAATGGTAGAGCTGGAAGGGGCCATGAAGGCCGTTGAGTCCAGCCCCCTGCTGCTGCAGGACACCAGGTGACACCACCCCACTCCGATGGCTGCCCAGTTTCTTTTCGACTGTCTCCAGTGTGGGAGAGTCACCACCTCTCTGGGCAGCTGGTTCCCCTGTCGTATTGCTCTGGCAGAGAGGAAGCTTATGTGTCCCTTCTTTTAAAACACACACACACGGAATGCGCCAGCACTGAACTAGTATGCCTTGGTTTGCACAGAAGACCATTTTCAAACATTCAGAGCACTTGACTGTTGCATTTTAAAAATCCAACATCCTACAGTTCATACTAATAGGAAGTTTTACTTAGTTTTATTGTAAGACTGTCCCAAGACTATCTGATAGTGGATGGTACAGAAAAGTTATACATGAATGAATGGAGGAATATTACAAGGGCATGCATTTGACAGGGTGGGGTTGTAGAGAACCTCGCAAGCCCCGTTCTGCAAGTATGCCAGGGAGGCAAGTGGAGAGGAATAAAGGTGCTGTACCTCAAGAAGAAGAAGAGATCCCTGGGAGTGAAACAGGACAGGGACGAGACGGCTTTGTAGAGGCAGGAAGCACCTAGAACAGACCTGCTGCTCTTAATGCAAGAGCTTGGCTGGTCCACCCACAAGGAAGCAGGCGCCCTTCCGCAGGCAGCGCCAACTGTGGCCCATGCAGGGCCCTGCCCAGGGGTCCCAGTGCTCAGGGAGCCCCAGCTCAGGAGGCAGAGAAGAGGACATGCAGAGGCAGCCTGGCCAGGCATGAGGCTCTCCCATCAATCACCTGGTGGGTTCAAGCACAGCCGTCTCGCAGCTCCTAGGAGCACATTTTATTTATTTATTTTCTGATGTATATCCTGCCTTTTTCCTACAAAGGGCTCAAGGCAGCTTACATCTCCTCCTCCATCTTATCCCCACAACAACAACCCTGTGAGGTAGGCTGGGCTGAGAGGCTGTGACTGGCCCAAAGCCACCCAGTTGGCTCCATGGCTGAGCGGGGACTCGAACCCAGATCCCGAGTCCCAGTCCCAGGCTCTTCACCACCACACCACACTGGCTCTCATCTCCCTCAGCCTCACTCCTTTACCCCGGATCATCCCTCTCCATCGCTTTTGCACAGACCTGAACCCACAAAATGTCTTGCATGGCAATTAATTGCCGACAGTAAGAGCCTTCAGCTAAGGGAAGCTGCCACTCCCTGGCCATCACCAGACACACGTCACCTGCCTGCCTTCGTGGGAAGCTTCGAACTATTTCACTCGTCTGTAATTCAAGGAGTTGCTCATGGATGGCCAGAACGCCCATTCAAAAGTATCTCTTAAATCCCTCTTAGGACGTGGGTGCCTGGGCATAGGGTTCCGGGCCCCCTATCCAGAGAAGCTGCAGAAATTAGGAGCACCTCTTCCCTGGCCCTGCCCTGCCCTGCCCCGCAAGCTCCTTGGGGCAGAGACGGTCCTCTTGCATTCAGGAAAGCGCCAGGCACACTGAAGGCACCACCACCACCACAACCACAAGGAGGAGGAGGCTGCAGAAGCATTCAAATGCGATCCTTCTGTGGTGGGCAGGAGAAAACTCTAGAACAGGTTCACCCACAAACAGTCGTGCAAATAGCCCGAGAAATCATTCACGAGCACAGCCATCCAGGTATCGTGATCGTCTTGCCTTCACTCACTCACTTCCTTAACTAACAGGCACCCTAGCAATGGTGTGGCCAGGCCATTTTATTTTATTTTTTAAAATAAATGTTATCATTTTCACTACAATCGAATCCATTTTAGAACCTGGACTGGATGTTCTTCTTGGCGGCACCACTGGACGGTCACAGGTGTCCCTCTGGTTCTGAAACACCCATCTCAAATGTCTCTTCTGGCTGCCAAAACGCCACACTGTACAGCCATGCCTGCCTTCCCGATATGTTAGAACAATGATGAAACGGTTCACGGACCCTGCTTAAAAACAGAGTGACTCTGAGCATGTGCTGCTTTGCATTTTAGACTTGCTTAAATCTCAGCACCACAGAAACAATATGACTATAGCTACTGGGGGCCTCATCAACAGCCCCTCCCTGGCTGGTCATTTGTGAGGGGGCTGAGCTGAGCTGAGCTGAGCTGGGCTGGGCTGGGCTGGGCTGGGCTGGGCTGGGCTGGGCTGGGCTGGGCTGGGCTGAGCTGAGCTGAGCTGAGCTGAGCTTAGCTGGGCAGGGCAGGGCGGCCCTGGGCTTTGGTCCAAGGTCCAGCCCTAGCCGTGCCAAGCTATCATACCTTTACCACACTGAACACAAAAGCTGCCACCTAAGAGAAGACCTTGGAGACTCAAACACGCCCCTACGTAAAGCAACCCTCTGTGTAAAGAGAACCAGCGCTGCGTCTTACCTCTGGGCTCCAAGCAGACGAGCTGTCCGTGGCACTGTTCCCCTCAAATCCTTGGTTGCTGAAAGCCGTCTCCATCTCGAAGCTCCCTTCTGTCTCTTGTCGGCTGAGGCTGGGGGCCCCTCTAACCTCCACCTCGGGGTCTTTGAGCTGGCCAGAGCCCCTGCTCTCCGAGGCAGTTCTCGAATCGAAGGAGAGATGGTCATCCTCGTGGTAAGAGAGGTTGTCTTGGTAACTCAATTGGCTGAACCCATCCAAATCTAATACAGGTTAAGCAGGGGGGAAAGGATTAATATTACCAATTTCTGTATCCTTCTGTCTAGGCATGCGTGTGCATGCAAGGGTTAACCTACTGGAGTCTGTGGTCTGGAAGGGATCGTCATGTGCGACAGACTTGTGAACTGCCAGGCATTGATGGCAAAACGCCCCATTCCAACTACACCACAAGAAAAGGGTCGAATAATCCTAACAGCGACATCACAGAGGTGCCTCAATCCATACCCTGGGGCTGCCTGTGAGCAGCCCGCTCCTTGGCGTGGCAAATGTGTTTGCTGCATGTACCCTTCTGTTTCCCCAAATAAATGCATGCGCGCCTGCACCCATGCACAACACTCCGCTTCTCTGAACTGGAGCAGGCAAAAGGTAGATTGAGATCTGCTGGTAGATCTCCGCTGGATTTGAGGCGGGTTTTGCCTGCCAGCTTTTAATGACTCAGAAACCCCCTTTTTCTGCTCAGAGTGCTGGAAAAGAGCACTTCGCGGACAAGGCGAGCGTGCGTTTTTGGGCCATTCCTGAGATAAGCACACATGCAGGGGCCCCTATTCCATGTCCGCGCTGCTTGTCTCAGCTACTATTTCCCACCCGGCTCCAGTTGGCAGGCTGCAGGTCGGCCCGTCCCTACCCAAATTATTTCTCTCCCAGACCAACAACACACACAAGCAGTCTTTAATCTGGTAGAGAAAAGGAAGGACTAGAAGAAACCATGGAGGAGTAATTGAAATCGTTCTAATATAAAACTCTGCATGATGTTGAGGGCGGGATCCTTCACATGATCTTTCGTAAGGCATTTCAACTGAAGCCAGTGTGGTGCAGTGGTTAAGAGCATGGGACTAGGACTCGGAGGATCTGGGTTCTAGTCCCCGCTTGGCCACAGGGCCAACTGGGTGACTCTGGGCCAGTCACAGACTCTCAGCAGAATCTACATCACAGGTTGAGGTGAGATTGAGAGCTGCAGGAGGAGAATGGTATCCAGTCCTTTGAGTTCTTCAAAAAAGGAAAAAGTGGGATATAACGCTAACAAATACATTACATAGCTCCACTTTACCTTCACAACAACCCTGTGAGGGAGGTTAGGATGAGAGTGAATGATTGGCTCAAAGTCCACCAGTGAGCTTCATGGCCAAGTGGGGACTGGAACCCAAATCTCCCCAGTCCCCAGTCCAACAGTCTCCTCACTGCGCTGCAAGGTCTCTCACTGAAGACTAGAAACTCCACTGAAGTCAGTGTGGCTTATGGCTGGATCCTGCATAAATCCCACTGAGTTCCATTTGCAGCCGCACAGCCCAGTGTTATGCATGTTCTCCCCAGTCGGAGTTCTACGGGTTTCGTGAAGAAGCATTATATTGTCACCTCTTCATCTGTGTTTTGTTACGACATACTTTGTGTGACTTCTGTGAGTGGATAACGTAGCTCAGCAGCCCAGAGGCCTTGCTGTGTTGCTCTGTATGCAGCCTTCATAGAATCATAGAATTGTAAAGTTGGAAGGGCCAAGAAGGCCATCAGGTCATCAACCCCCTGCTGATGCAGGACACCAAGTCACACCATCCCACTCAGATGGCCGTCCAGTTTCTTCTTGAATGTCTCCAGTGTGGGACAGCCCACCACCTCTCCAGGCAGCTGGTTCCATTGTCATATTGCTCTGACAGACAGGAAACTTTTCCTGATATCTAGCCTGAACCTGGGTTGTCACAGCATAAGCTGATTATTCTGTGTCCTGCACTCTGGTGTCAGCAAGAAGAGATCTTGACCTTCTGCCTTTGCGGTGCCTATAGAGAGGTATCATGTCCCCCCTCAGTCTTCTCTTCTCAAAGCTGAACATGCCCAGTTCTCTCCGTGTCTCCTCACAGGGCAGCGTTTCCGAACCTGGGATTACCTATCTTGTCCTCTTCTGGACCCTTTCTAATTTTTCTGCATCCTTCTTAAATCTTGGTGCTCAGAACTGGACAAAGTATTCCAGATGAGATCTGACTACTGAAGAGTACAGGGGAAGTGCTACTTCTCATGATTTGGAAGTAATACTTCCATTAATGCATCCCAAAATAGCATTTGCCTTTTCTGCAGCTGCATTGCATTGTTGACTCATATTTAGCCTGTTGCCCACAATTACTCTGAGATATTTTTCCTTTGCAGCATTGTCAAGCCGAGTATTCCCCATCAATGCATTTTGTTTCTTTTTCCTAGGTAGAGAACTTGGCATTTGTCCCTATTGAATCTCATTCTGTTGCTTTCAACCCAGCGTTCAAGTTTATCAGGATTGTCCTGGATCTTCATTCCACCTTCTAGGGAGTTTGCTGTCCCATCCAGTTTAGTATCATCTTCAAATCTGATTATCTTTCTTTGTACTTCCTCATCTAAATCATTAAGAAAGATGTTGAATTGCTCTGGGCGCAGGACTGAACGCTGTGGCACCCCACTAGTTACCTCCATCCAATTTGAGAAGATGCCATTGATGAGCACTCTTTGTGTTCAATTTAGCAGTCAATTTTGGATCCACCTAATCGCTTTTCCATCTAATCCACTTTTTGCTAATTTGCAAAATTATCAGAATGCCATGGAACACTATGTTGAAAGCTTTGCTAAAGTCTAGGTAGATTATGTCCACAGTGTTCCCTCTGTCCATTTGGGAGGGTACCCACTCAAAAAATACGATTAAATTAGTCTGACAGGATTTATTTTTGATAAATCCAAGTTGGCTTTTATTAATCACCGCAATTTCTTCTAGGTGCTCGCGGACTGATTTTTTAACAATCCGCCTTAACACGGGCGGTTGACTCACCCTTCAAAAAGGGAGGCTTGGAGATGTTTAAAATGCCCGGGGAGCAAAGTTTCCTTTGCTTTGATTGGCTGGGTGGATCAAGAACGATGATTGGTGGCCGGAAGTTCCATGAAGAATGATTGGCTAGCAGCTGCTTAAAAGATGAGGGAGACACTGATGCAGAGCCATTAGCAGAGTGGTGCTGTAGATACCAGGAGCAGGCGGCCAGGTTGAGATGGTTCAGCAGAGAGAGGAAGCCAGAGGCTGACCAGAAGCCGCTTCAGCAAACGCTTCCTGATGTAGCAGCATCGACCCCAAAGCCCGAGGCAATGGGACAGGATGAAGGAAGAGAGAGACAGCTGCAATGTTTCCATTAGCAGTTATGAGTTAAGGTTAGGTTTGGGGTTGATTGGTTCGCATTTAGGAGAAATGGATCTGGTAGGAAAGTCACTGAGGACTTAGTAGCAGGGAAGACTCTCTTATTAGCTACGGTAAGAAGGATAGGGAATTTAAGTCCATTTAAGCATTCCCATTCCTATAATGGGAACAGTGCTCTGTCACCTTTGGTATATAAATCCAATAATAAACCTCTCAGTTGGTTCAACTGGTCTCTAGAGAGTGGAGGTATTGATCTCATAAATATGATCTCATAGGGGAAGAGGGGAAGGCATGCATTACATACAAAACAGGAGAAAAATGATTCTCAGGTGTTTGGAAATGTTTAATAATTCTAATGCATTTAGGATAGATATTTCCTTATCCATGAATATGTTGAAAAATCTTAGAAAGCCAGTATGGTTTGGGGTAAGAGGAGCTGGAGGCCTGGAGATCCAGGTTGAGCCCCCACTTAGCCACTCACTCACTCTCAGCCTAGCCTACCTTACAGGGCTGTTGTTCTGAAAATAAAGTGAAGTTATGTAAGTCACTTTAGATTTCTCACAAGAGTAGGGGTATAAACGCCATTTAGTAATACAACTTCTAATAGTAATAATACCGATACCTTCTTTATTTTGAATTACAGAGAAAATATCAATAAGATGATCACAAAATATATGTGGAGAAAGACGAGGTCTAGAGGAAGGAAATATTTCCCAAAATGCATTGGGTTTATTAAAGCATTTTCAAGTACTTGAGAATATCTTCTCTCCTGTTTTCGGTGTCAGTTCCATGACTTAGTTTCCAGAGTACCAAGATAGAGAAGAAACAAAGGGTTTATTTTGGTGCCAGCAGTTTTAATGATTAAGGACTTTTATATCTAAGATGGACTTTTGAGATCCAAGTCTCAAAGTACTGAAAAAAGACAACAGAGGCAGAAAACCCACATAGTTCAGTCACAATTGGGAAGACAGGAGGAGAGGTTGCTCCTGCCACAGGGCAACAAAAATGATCAGGGGCTGGATCAGGTCCCCTGTGGGGAGTGATTGCAAGAAGTGGGACTGTTTAGCTTGGAAAAGGGGAGAGGAAGCGGAGACGGGCTGGAGGTTTTTAAGGCAATGCCTGGTGTGGAGAAAGCGGAGGGGAAGGCATACTTCTCGGTCTCCCAGAACCCTCCAACCTGGGATCGTCCCATGAAGCTGACTGGTGGGAGGTTGGGGACAGACACAAGGAAGGGCCGCTTCACACAGGCTGTAGCTAAACGGAGGAATGTGCTGCCACGGGAAGTGGTGATGGTCTGGATGGCTTTGGAAAGGGAGGCCTTGCGCCCATCCTGCTGGAGGGACCCCACAGGCAGCTGCTTTGCCATCGCGTGTACAGACGAACCTTGGCTCTGATCCAGCATGGCTTTTTCACGTCCCTCAGTTCTGCAGCGCCTGAGCCCCACGGAAACGAGTGGGGGACGGGTGCACCCAGCAGATTGTAGCTCTGAATGAGCAAATACGTGTTTGATACACATTTGGAACACTCCAGTGGGCTGGCAGGCAGGTTTTAAATTTTAAAATATAAATAAATAGCCACAGGCTTTCAGAATCTAAGTGGTTCTCTGGAGAGAAGTTATATTACACACATCCCACACAAAGCTTCCCCACAACATTCCCTCCGCCTTGCAAATTTGGTCTGCAGCCAGATCAGTATTTTAAGCCTTTAAAATGTAACAGGTTATTAAGAAATGCAGTTCCAGGGATTCCACTGAGTGGCTAAGGCCGCCAACCTAGACCCTCTGAGCTGGGAATAAGCCCCACTGAAATGAGCCTTTGGATTAATCCTTGAGAAGGCAGGTACAGGGTT